TTTAGTACACAATGGAAAGGACACATCTGCCCTTAGTACTTACATAATAAATAAAGTAAATAAAGCTGAAATAAATAATAACTGAATTAACAAACTGACTCAAACTGACACTACTATAACTGAAACAAATAACTACACATGCTGTCCTACGAACACAGTGGGGCCCACATCAGTGTTCTCTACATTAACCAGGCAGTGCCTACTGATTCAGGACATCCTAAAGGGTCGAGAATTGCAATATCCAAGCAGATGTGCTCTTTGCCTTATAGTCTTGACGCACTAAACCACCCTAACAGTTATTGTTTCAATGATGACATCCTTACTTCTTTCTTTTCCAAAGAAGATTCTTTGATATTTTTCCTCCCAAACGATCCAACAGATAGTTGCTCTCACACATCTCCACAGCATTTTACCTCTCCTCTTTAATCCACTAACAAAAAAAGGAATTAAACAACCTCTGCACATTTGGTGGGGGTCCACTTGCAACCAAATAGAGAGAACCCAACTCCAGATCTCAGAGACAAAAGAGTAGGAGATTAATAAATGATAGCAGCTCTCACCATTATCCTTACATAGGATAACACCAGTACAGGGACAAACACCAATTAGGCCTTTTTCTTTGGAGTAAATCACAAGTATTACACTTTTCTAGGAAAGCTTCCCAACAAAAAGAACCTATTTTGGGACAAATTGGTTTACCCCAAACTTCCAAAACTGGGAAAGGTTTCCCGCATAGTTTTCAAGGTGTCAAGGTGAGGCTGGGCATTAGGGGGGTGCCTTGTTGCCTAGGCGATGGATTTTTTTATGTAGAAAACGTAGATCCTAGGGTAGTTCCCTACGTACTATAGCCATATTTCCTTAATAATTATTCATAATTTTCATAAGAAAGGTACCATAGCCATATTTCCTTGATAATTATTCATAATTTTCATAAGAAAAGTATAGAGTTCATGTTGAAGTATAGAAAATCAACATATTCTTGAGAAGAAAAACAAGGAAAAGAAAGTCTTTGAGGGTTCAATACAGCATTTAGCAATGTTTGTATTGATTAAACCCTAACAAATAGGAAAATAATAAAAAGAAATTAGTATATAAACACACAAAATGAATATTTTAGTTTAATAGTGCCTATTTTATAATTATAATGTCAAAAAATAAAGAATAAAAAAGTATTTTACAATACATAGTACAAAACTGCTTGGCGATTAGGCAAGGCAAGCCTCAAAGGGCGCCTTGTCACCTAGGCGCCCGCCTAGGCGTCGCCTTGACAACTATGGTTGCCCGTTGTCAGTTAAGGGTAGAACTAACTCTATGAAAAAGGAAGAACAAGAAAAGACACTTGAGGGAGAAGGGGTCCAAATCCTACTTTCCCTCCTAGAGAAATCCAATACCACCTCATCTAGGATTTTAAGCAGATCAGAAACACTATTCAATTCAGTCTCTAAATGCCCTTCTAAAATCCAAGTTCCAATCTAGAGCACAGTTTACATTAGAATGAGTAAGAAAGGTGGAAGCAGGCTCAGTTTTGAACCTAGAGAGTGAATACAAAGAAGGGAATTACTCTTTCAAATGTATGTTCCCACCCAAATTTTCACAAGATTTCCTGAGCATGAATAGATTTCCCGTGTATACTTAAAATTACTTTAGTCCACAACTTATCCCTTTCCATTGTCAATCTCCATAACCATTTCCCTGATAAAGCTTGTTCTTCTTTTGTAAGGTACCCAATCATAACTCTATGATCTCTCTTCTCCTCCCCCAGTTCCCATAGGAAATCCCTCATTAATTTCCCCAAAACTTTTCCAATCCAGAAGATAAGGAAATAAGTTAGGCCTAGAGGCAGCATATCCATTGGCAGAGTGAGGTCACAAAGATATAGGCATGTCATGTTTACTAAAGTTTCTTTTCTTATGTTTATATTTGTTTCTGCTTTAGTTGTTCATTTGCAATTCAGACATACTTCGTCAACACTCAGTGACTGTTGTTAGAGTTGCATATGAAAATTTGGAAAAGATGATTGACAGACCCGTGCTAACTTTACTTAGCCTTTTCTTGCCTTAGTATGTAGGCCATGATCCATCATATATGTTACTTTAGATTAAAGGATTAGTTGTACTAATTTACTCTTGTTTTAGAGATTTAAGTCCGTCTTCCCTGGAATAATTATTTAGAATTATGATTTCAGGTAAATCTTGGTTAACAGCTCTTTCTCTCCTCCAAGTCCATGGATATGTTCATGAATTATGTTATCTTTCAGGTAAGGAACTCTGCAATTCGGATGCTTTTTCAGACTCTTGGAAGTCATGGACAGAAACTTTCAAGGACCATGTGGGAGGATTGCCTTTGGAATTACGTTTTTCCTACATTAGATTGTGTTTCTCACATGGTAAGTTGAAATTCTTCCAGATTATGATTCAATCTGCTTTTCTGCTTCTTTTCTCAACAGTTACGAATATTTTTTCCAGGCAGCAACTTCATCAACTGATGAATGGCAAGGGAAAGAACTTGGAACCCGACGAGGAAAAGCAGTTCACATGCTTATACATCACAGGCATGTAAATTATCAATCCTGTCCTAGGAAATCTTCTTCTTGTCAACATAATTTTTATGTATTTTTACCAATATTTCACCTGTTTGATAAACTTGCAGTCGTAATACAGCTCAAAAACAGTGGGATGAGACACTTGTATTGGTTTTAGGTGGAATTGCACGCATCCTACGCTTCTTTTTCCCTTTCTTGAGAAGTTTAAGCAACTTCTGGTCAGGTGGGTCCAATCATGTATAATATTTCAGCTGACTGTGGCCACATTGATTTACATATGAGTAATAAATTGACATTTCATAATTGATGGCTTTCATTTTTGAAGGATGGGAGTCTTTGCTGCTCTTTGTAAGGAATAGCATTTTAAATGGTAGTAAAGAGGTGGCCCTTGCAGCAATAAATTGTTTACAAACAACTGTTATTTCACATTCTCCTAAGGTAACCATTGGGTGGTCTTCAGCAGGGGCTTGATTGCTACATAAAGTAAACCACATATGATGCCCATTTAGATTTCTGTTGATTTTCATTTGGAACATGGTGATTTGTTCTCGATGGGTTGGCTTAATTGATATGTTCTTGTTCTACATACTAAAATAGTACATTGCCTGAATCAGGGAAACTTGCCGATGCCTTACCTGAAGTCTGTGGTTGATGTTTATAAGTTTGTTCTTCAAAGCTCTCCAAATTATAGTGGAAATGCAGCGGACAAGGTGAAGCAGGAAATTCTGCATGGTCTTGGTAATGTACCAGTAACTGAGTCCTTCCAATTTTATTTGTCATAATGTCATCGTCTTTTGTTAAATGGCCCATGATTTTATCAGCAAGATGTGGACCGACACAGTAGGCAACTTTATTCCCCATGTATTTATATACTAAACTAAATATTTGGCAGGTGAACTATATGTACAGGCTCAGAATATGTTTGACAATGGAATGTATAGACTGTTGCTAGAAATCATACTTTTAGCTGTCAAACAGCCCAAGAGTATCACTGATAATGTGGAAGCAGAAATTGTAAGTCAATTCTCTTGTGTCATTTTTCCTATTCTTCCTGCTTTTATTTTTTCCTTTTAACTTTCATGTGGAATTTGCTGCTACTTGTATCACATTAATGTTTATGTTTTGCACCTTGAATGTGGTGCTTTAGAGTGTTTCTATTTGTCTGGAAAATTTATGTATGCCTACTACATAATGTACCTAGTGTCTTCAGGCTATCCTTTACAAAGGAACTTTTATGCCTAACTGGGACCATTTCCTCCAGGGACATGTTCCACCAGTTCAGCGTACCATGCTGGAAATTCTACCACAGCTTCGTCCACCTGAGCACCTCCCTTCAATGTGGTCACATTTTCTATCTGAGCTTTTGAATTACCTTCCTGGATTTGAATCTCCTTCACAAAAAGATGGTGATACAGAACAAGCCGGCAGCAAAGATCACCACCCAGAAATTGTAGGAATGACACCTCAACTGGATGTCAATTCTGTTTCAAACAAAGACAGTATTGAAGATTCAAAAAATGTTCCCATAGAAAATCAGAATACGATGAATTCTGGTGTTCCTAATGATTCTGATTCTGCAATTAAGGATATAGTGGCAAGCATGCAAAGTTATATATTTGGGGAAAAGCTTATCCCAGTACTGGTAGACCTTTTTCTTTTAACTCCTGCTGTAGAAAAATACAAGATGTTTCCTGAAATTATTCAAGGTCTTGGAAGGTAAGTTTGTTGTAACCTTGACTTAATCTTTCAATATTCATCTGACATTTGGTTCTATATGTCAGATTGGCTGATATGCTAGTATTAACCTATACTATAAAACAATTAGAACATTGTGGTGTAATTTTTAACAGCCTGTGTTTATCTGTGTTTGACTTGTTTCTGAAACTATCCTGTTGACAACTCTAATTATGTATCTCCACCCCCACAGACATTATCACAAGAGAAGTATACATGCCACCAAACTTGGCATAATAAATGATATAAGATCTTGATAGAGTAGACTTGAAATCAAGATTCACATAGCTGGCCCCAAATGGTTGGGGTGATTCTTTGTTAAGTTAGATCAATTCCTCATCCTGATTTGTCATTTAAATGTTTTTTGCTCAAATAGAAAATATTGAAAAAAAAAAGAAATTTTTGAAGAAATTTTTTTTTGTTCTTTAGGTAGTATTTGAGTTGAAGGAGTCTAACCTTTATATGTTTCTTACAAAGGGTGAGAGAGAGAGAGAGAGATGAACATGGGTAAACTGATCATTTTGCCTCTTTTTGCTGAATTTCATGCAAATTTAGGATCAACAATCTGCATGGACTATTAAAGAAGCTGATCAAATCATTATGCTACCCTGGTTTTAGATGATTTTTAGAGAACTGATTGAAGGTTAGTGCTCAAGGAAGGACCGAAGGAGTATAAATATTTACATGAAAATCAAGAAAAGAGAGAATTTTTTGTTTAGCACTATTGGGTTAAACCAGCAGTGATGGTCATTTTATCCTCTTTGAATCACAATAGAGTAATGTTTTAAAACACGGAGGCATGACGTGAGGCGTTCCACTACCTAGAGGCGTGAGGTGTAGTTCAAAACGTAAGAGGCATAAGCCTCCTTAAGAGGAGGGGGGTCAGGAGGAAAAAGGACGAGGAAGGGGAGGACGAAGAAGAGGAAGGGAGATACTATTTTTTCTTTATTTTTAATAAAAATATTTTATATTAAGAAGAATAAAGGTGCATAGCACTAGTTGAAAGGGGGGAGGGGGATCTTGTCGAAGCAGAGGCGAGCGGGGGGCGAAGCCCCCAACCGAAGGGGCTGGGGGCAGACCACTTTCTTTCCCCTTATCTTTTCTTCCCTTCCCTTTCCTTTCCTTTTCTTTCCTTTTCTCTTTTCTTTTCTTCTCTTTCTTTTTCTTTCCCTTCCCTTTCTTTTCTTTTCCTTTCCTTTCCTTTTTTTTTTCTTTTTTCTTTTTTTTTTCTGTCTTTTTATACAAGGTGTGCATGAGGCGTATGCCTCCAGCACGCCTCATGAAAAAAGTGTATTGAGGCATACACCTCTTGCGTCTGAGGCATACGCCTCAGAGGTGTTAGTGCCTCTGGCATACGCCTCAGGGCGTTTTGGGAGCGCCTCTTCTGGAAGCACACCTCCACGCATACGCCTCCCATGCCTTTTAAAACACTGCAATAGAGTGGATTATTTTGGTTTTGTGGAGTTCTTGGATCTCTAGAGTACTCCCTATTTCTCAAGTTTCCACTAGTCCCTAGTCCCTATTAGGAGTGATCTCTTATACCCTATGTTTGGGGTTGTAGTTGTGTACTTGTATCTTAGAAACTAGGGTCATTTACTTAGATACTGCTTATGGTTTCACATATTTACTATAGAGAAACCCTAGATACAAACCTTTTTGTACACAATGATCAGAACTGGAGCTTCGTAGTCAGTAACCAGAAATAAAACAAGAAGATAGAAGAAAGAGGAGAAGTTCAACTTGTTGAAGTTGGATTATTACAGCTCTGGTACCATGTTTGCAAACCTGTAACAGAGTTTAGGGCAAGAGAAAGAGAAAATAGAGAAGAGAGAAGAGAGTGAATTGGTGGCAAGTGTGTTCTCATCCGGAATAAAACTAAGACATGAAGAAAAACCATGAATTGGCAGCAAGTACATAAAAAGACTGATGTGCCCCTGATTACTAAAGGACACTCAGACACAAAATAAAAGAACTAATTCAAGCCTAATAACTTCAGGCCCATTACAGGAATAAAACTAAGACGTGAAGAAGAAGAGGCCCACAACTAATCACCCATTACAACCACCTAGGTAATGCATTTTGTTTAAACAAAAACCATGAATCCTAGGGTAATTCCCTAGGTTCTATAGCAACCACCAACCATTTTTCATTAATAAGTATCTATAATATTCATATAAAAGTATAAACTTCATATTAAAACATAGAAAATCGATAAATCCATGAGAAGAAAAAGAAGAAAGGAAAGAAAATTCAGAAAATACTTGTTATTGTCCTAGGAGATGATGATGATGATGAATGTGTTGATTGGACAAAATTTTATGTTCTTCTATGATTATTGGTTCAGGTTTTGAAGTCTTTTTGAGGGTTACACCCATATCTCTGTTGATTGAACCCTAGCAATAAGAAAATAATAAAACAAAACTAGTATATAATGTCTATTTTATTATTATAATCTAAAAAAATAAAGACCGTAGTTATACAGGTATTTCATAGGGGCATGAACAAAATAGATACACGAGTAAGTGAGGTGACTCTCCATGGGCACCTTGTTGTCTGGATGTCACCTTAGACAACTATGGGTGTGTGGGATGGCAGTCATCTTGATGGATGAGGATAGGTAGAAACATTTGGCATTCAGGGAAGACAATTAATGGCAGGTGCAAATCATAAGCATAGTAGAGGCATTGCCCAGCCTCCATGAGTTTGAGTCAAAGTAACCCCAAAACAACTTAATAGTATTTGAGATGATGATCAGAGGTTCTAAATGGGGCTTGGTAGCTGAAAGTTACAGGGACACAGCCAGCCTAGACTGATGGCCACAAGGGGGAGATTGCAAGGTTGTTAAGGGAGAGGCAGTTGTTCATATCCTGTCCAATGAAAACTTGATGAAGGTTGGAAGGAGGAGTATCTTTTAAGATGTGTGGACAGGAAGTTTGAGGGAGACCCACTTCTGCTGATTCCCAATATCAGCTATGGGGCTTTCTGTTGTGCCCAGAAGTTTAAGATTACCTCAATGAATGCTTCTAATTTTGTTGCCATTGGAACAGGAGGCATTGAGGATTCTAAAGGATGGTCATTGGACTTAATGATTTATGGCTAGTAACTTTGGATAGGAAGCTGCTACCCTAGTATCTCCAGCAACATGGAAGATGAACTGGAGGTTTCATAATGTTAGATTAGGGATTTTGGGCTACTAATGCATCTTGCAACAGGAAGATCATTGAGATGGTGGGTGACATGTGGGGGATCATTCAAGTAGATGATGTGAATAATGAAAAGGACAGTTGTGAGTGGGTACAAATGGAAGTAAGCTGGAAAGGCTCAGTGCCAGCATTGATAAACATTGTACTGGGGGGCATAATATATATGATTATGATATGGCTGGAGTTCTTACTAGGAATTTTTCAAGTGCTGGAGAACTTGAGGAGAAAAGAGACTATCAGACACAAGAGGATGTTAAGATTTTACAGGAAACCAATGGCAGTAGTGGGGCTGTGCATAAAATCAGCTTCAAGTAATTCTCTTAGTTGTTTGTTGCTGGTATTAAACCAAGAAAAAAGCTGGCACCATGGTAGATGGTGTGGTTGAAGAAATAGGTTCAAGGAAGTCGTAAACAAAACCAAAGAACATTGTGGATGGGAGGATAAAGAGCCGATGTTGTTGGAGCAGGAGATTTCATCTACATCAGAGCCAAATTTGGATTGGGACCCAACATCCATGAACCAAATGGGGCAATCAAGCTCTGATCAAATTGACCCTAATCATCCACATGATGCACATGAGGTGATAGGATCTGCAATCCCAGGAAGGACAGGATTTGAATTTCAAAAGGTCTCCTAGGACACCTTAAAGGAAATAATAAAAGGAGGTTTTAGTTGTCTTTTTTAGGGAATGAGTTGGTGACTACATTCTTCAAGTCAGGGAGTCAACCAAATCTACCAGATAATTCCTAAGTAGAGCTGAAAATCATATTTGATTGTCCAAATTTGAATTTGAGTTAGATCCCAGGATCGATTTCAGATCCACTCTAATCCAATTCGATATAATTTGGTTTGATTTAAATATAATGCTCATATGTACTTAAAATTCATATTGTATCTATTAGCAAAGTTAGTTTGAATGTTGTGCTTTTACTAAATGGTCTTTGGTCCAAGTTTCATGCAAGTATTTTTCAATTCATTTTGCTCATGAAATACAATATCAAAGTCATTGCTAGTTCATTTTAATAATAATATATGATATTTTGATCATTTTTAGTTTAATTTATTTATACTATTCATTATATTAGAAGAGAATGGAGATTCTTAGCTTAGTTAAACAATGCACAGTTAAATCATGGTTGTAGGTGATGCTTTTAGATAAGGTTCATATCGACAATTGTCTTTTCCTGGTTGATATAACCAATGACTTTCATGAAGGTTCTGGATTGGCAACTACTGTTCTTGCTTGTAGTCCTAGGTAAAAAAGCTTGGATGATGTTGCTACATGTGGAATGTTAACGAGAACGAAATTTTTTTAAGGTGTATGACAACAAGAAGAGATAACCCTGATTGCACACTTTGGAGATTAGCTGTTGAAGGCTTCAACCGTATTCTTATTGAAGATGTCATCAGGGAAAGCATGGATTTTGGTCCAGATTCAGATATAATTCAACCTCTTAGAATACGTCTCTGGAAAGAAATTGCTGATGTTTATGAAGTATTCCTCATGGGTTCTTGCGGCCATGCTCTTCCTTCCAACAGTGTCTCACTGGTGGCACTCAAGGCTGATGAATCTCTTGAGATAATCATTTTAAATGTTTTGGGTGACAAGATTCTCAAGACAAAAACTGATGCTCCTACAGATGTAACTTTCTTTCTAGATGAACTGCTGACAGTTATTGTGCCAATGCAATACAAATAATATACTACGACACATGTACATGCAGGGTTTGGTAGCCACCAGCTCATTGACCAACGAGATCTCATGGACCATAACTAAATTATTGGATTGACCACACTTATTTGACCTGGCTTCTATCTTTAACTCTTGCCAGGTTAAGTGAAGTGCCATAAGGAATCCAATGTGTCATATGGTTAAGGTCTCAAGGATCATCCAATTTGAGCTAGGAAACCTCTTAGTCCTTGGTGGTCGAATTAAGTTTACATCCTGGAACCCTGAATGTACACCATGTTTCCTAATATTCCATTTACTAATTGTTTGTTTACCATTAGTAAGACGGTGCTTATTTTCTATTATTCACTTAAAGCATCTTATTTTAACTTGTGCAGATTTTACAACGACTGGTTACCGTTCTGGACCGTTGTGCATCCCGAACATGCTGTTTACCATTAGAAACTGTAGGACTTATGCCCCCTCACTGCAGCAGGTTCTCCCTGACTTGCTTACAAAAGTTATTTTCTTTGTGCAGGCAAGTCCTCTTATAGCAAAGATTTATCCCAACCGTTACTTCAGTTTTTTAGTTTGTGAAACTTCGATTTCCATAGATTGCTTTAGCAGGCTACCATGGCTTTTGCCTCAAAGTTTTTATTACTTATTCTTGAATTTGATACTGTAGCTGTAAGACCTATGGTATCAATCCCCTCTGTATTTTTCCCCTTCCTCTTTCTATCTGTTACACTTCCTATAACCTCTTTTCTTTGATGAAAGACTTTTAGGAACTTTAATGAGTGATGGTTTGTACTTGAAATTAGATTTTTTGGAGTTATTCCATCATTAGGTAAGACCATTGACTTCATCTGACCAGCATCTCTCCATTACCAAACCAATGAAGTAGTGGGTGAAACATTTCTTTTTATGCTTCTCCAATCAGAAGCCTGGGTATTCTTATTATATTTTCAATCTAGTTGCATATTGCATATATTTGGATGGTTATTCTGCTTGTTATGTTTTCACAGTTATAACAGCCAAGCCAATGATTGGAACTCACAGAGATCTGAAGTTAGCAAAATCTCAATCATCGTACTCGTAGGCAGATGCCAATACATATTGGACAGGTTCCTGATAGACGAGAATGACTTAGGTACCTTCCTTGTGTAATTTTTTATCTTGTCATTGCTGGTGTTTGGTTCCTAAGGTTTATTTGCATTTTCACCTCCCAAGTTGCTCTTCAGAAGTTTTGAAATACAACTCTTTCACAGGTGAGTCTCCATTGCCAACAGTGAGAATTGAAGAAGTTATTTACGTCCTCCAAGAGCTGGCACGGCTTGTAATTCATTCTGATACAGTAGATGTTCTTCCACTACAACAGTATTTGAAAGAGGGTCTAACCAGGAATGAGAATCGTGCACATCTGCTTGTTCTGCTTCCATCCTTTTGTGAACTTGTTGTTTCAAGGTTTGAGCAGCACACTTCGAAGTTGTTGAGCAACCACGTTAATCAAATATAAATAATATGGGAAAGATATTAGAGTATCATCCTAATGTTTTAATTCTGTCCTTACGTTGTCACTTTTCGTGGGCAGGGAAGCAAGAGTTAGAGAGCTCGTCCAAGTGTTGCTCAGACTCATTGCCACGGAGTTAGCACTCCAAAAGGTCAATTTAGACAGTTGACTCGTGGAAGAATGGTATTTTATGAAACCCAATGCCTGTGTGTAGATTATGTTGCCTCTTTGCAGAGGAATTTTTCTAATCCTCAGTTTGATGTGAAGTGTAATTTGTCTGATATTTTGTAAATTAGAAGAGAAATGTAGAAAGTTGGCATGAGGTGTCTAAATTCTCTTAGTGTTTCTTTTTCATTTTTCTATTGTATCCAAGCCGGCGGCCATGTGGATAATGAGGATGAGTTTGTATTAGGCTACTATTAGCTGCTCCCTCTCCCTCTCTCTCTCTCTCTCTCTCTCTCAAAACAAACATTCCTAACTTCCTTACCAGGTTTAGGGGAAAAAACATAAATTAGTTACATGTTCTTCGCTACATATTGTATTTCTTGTCTACGAAGTTTAAAATCTAAAATTAGAACGTGTTTTTAAATTTCCTGTTTGATAAGTATGTTTATTGCTGGAGTTAGATGTGTTTCATATAACATACACACTATTCAAATTCTGATCAAAGTGATGTTAGTTTACCTTTCTTACGTTTAAATTTATAATTTGGAACTAAATTCTTTAAAAGTTTTTTATCTATCCTTCCTATCTCATAATTTTTTTTATTAATTTTCACAATTAGAAACAATGACAAAGGAATCTATTTAGAGGTGTAAATCGGGTTGTGCCACCCACAGGCTGGTATGACGGCACATAAGTTATGTTGGGCATGACATGATGAGATGGGCTGTGATGGCTTGGGTTCCAGGCAAGGTTCAAAGTGTCGATACATATCAGCCCGTATCGGCCAAGGTTCAAAATATCGATACGCCACCAGTATGGGCGTATCAGGCGAATCGATACAGCTTTTGGTGCTTTTTTTTTTGCAACTGGCTTAGGGGAGATGGTGTAGGCCTCCTCCACACCCTGAATCGGTCAAACCCCCAATACACCCACTGTAGGGGCGTATCGGAGGGGTCCTTGAACGATACGTATCAGCCAATACGTGTCGATACTTTGAACCTTGGTATTGGTCGATACGTATCGTTTCGAGACCCCTCCGGTACACCCCTACAGTGGGTGTATCGGAGGTTTGACCATTCAGGGGGTAGAGGAGACCTAAACCGGCCCCCCTGAATTGGTTGCGAAAATAAATAAAAAAGTGGCTCCAAAATGTGTATCGATTCGCCCAATATGTCCTTATCGGCATATTGATATTTTGAACCTTAGTTCCAGGCCCATGGAACTTGCAGGCTGTGTTGCCCACAACTTGCATGTCAACATGGCCCAAAACGTGGAATGGCTTGACATGGCATGGCTTGTGGGCCATAATGGATCGAGTGTGGCTTGCCTAAGGAAACTAGCCATTGGGAGCCCGCCCCCCTCATGCTTTAATTGTTAGTTTTTGTTTTTTTTTTGGGGGGGGGGGGGTACATAAATACCCTATAATGGCTATAAATAGTTATTTAGGGGGCTATTTATGTATTTTGGCCTTCATGGGTAGAAAAATGATAATAATGCCCCCTTAATAGTTATATAACTAGTTTGGGAGCATTTGGGTAAAGTAATAATTGACTTTATAATAACCAAAATGCCCCTCCAAACAACTAAAATATAGCTAGTTTTCAGGGTGTTTGGCCAATTGAATTATTTCTAATTCCTATAAATACTCCTATCCCCATCATTTTCATTACACCAATTCTTAAACTATCCCATACTCTCATATATTTTTTCTACTCTTTATTTATCAACTTTATTCAAGTTTCAACAAGAAGGCTTGCTCAAGTATCTTAAGTTATCAATTTAGGAGGCTTAGAGGCTTCAACTGTTGAAATTAAGTTGAGATTCTGAATCGGTAATCTGGGTAAGTGCAATTAAATTATTTTTTTTACAATTTAAAAAAATGGTTGGTTCTTCCTAAAACCAATTTTTAAACATGTTCAATGTCAATGATGTTCAATTGCAATATAGTGTTAGCATTGATATGGATGTTATTAATATTGCCAGAGTTCTCACCCCTAATACTATTACTAAAGGAAAGAAAAAGAAGGGCGATAAATTGACTAGCCTTGTCTGGGAAGTATTTACCACAGAAGAGGTTAAGGGCAAGGGAAAAGAGTCATTTACATTAAATGTAGGAGTGACTTTAGTTATAATAGCAAGGGTGGTATTGGCCACTTAGGTAAACATATTCTAAGTCATTAGAGAAGAAGAAAAATATATTATACATAATAATAACCATTTTTATTAGATGAGGATACTAAGCTTGAAATTGTGTTACTAGTCGTTTTATTGATGAAAATGGGCTTTTACAAAAAAGAATTTTAAGTTTTACCAGCTTTGAATGGCCACATATTGGCTTAGCAATTGGTATAAGTATTTTAAATACTTTACATAATTGTGGAATTGAAAATAACTCTTTTCTATTAGTTTTGATGATGCTAGTAAAAATGATGCAGCAATAAATATTTTAAAATCTCAATTAAAATCATGATTAAATGGTAAATTATTTTATATTATGTGTGCATGTCACATCTTAAATTTATGTGTTCAAGATGCTTTACATATTATTTCTCCTCATATTTTGAAAACTAGAAATTGTATTTTGTATATTAGAAGTTATAGAACAAGAAAACAAGAATTTAAATATTTTTATTAAAATTATGATTTAAAATATACAAATTTTGTATTAAATGTACAACATAGATGGAACTCTACATATTTTATGTTAGAATTTTGTATTTCTTATAAACAAGTTCTTACTAATTTTTATAATACAGAATGTCACATGATAGTATACTTGAATTTTCGAGTGTTTATACAAAATGGCAATTTGTATAAAAGATTTTTCACAAAAATTTTAAGATACAACTAATGAATTTTCGAGTGTTTATTATCCAACTAATTGTATTTTAGAGCACAGTTCATGTTAGAATGAGTAAGAAAGGTGGAAGCGGGCCTAATTTTGAACCTAGAGAGTGAATAGAAGAGAATTACTCTTTCAAAGGTATGTCTCCCACCCAAACATGCTCCTAAAATTTCACAAGATTTGCTAAGCAAAGATCATACACAAAAGAATAACATGAATAATTTCCAAGGAAAAGCTCTTGTAGCCAAAGTTGATACTCTCACATCCCAACCTTCAATCACTTGTCCGTGTATACTTAAAATTACTTTAGCCCACAACTTATCCATTTCCATTGTCAATCTCCATAACCATTTCTCCAATAAAGCCTAATTTTTCTTTTGTATACCCAATCATAATTCTGAGATCTCTCTTCTCCTCCCTTGATTCCCATAGGAAATCTTTCATTAATTTCTCTAAAATTGTTCCAATCTAGAAGATAAGGAAATAGGTTTAGGTCTAGAGGCAACGTACCCATTGGCAGAGCAAGGTCACAAAGATATAGGCATGTCATGTTTACTAAAGTTCCTCTTTTATGTTTATATTTATTTTTGCTTTAGTCGTTCATTTGCAATTCAGACATACTTCTGTCAACACTCAGTGTCTGTTGTTAGAGTTGCATATGAAAATTTGGAAAAGATAATTAACTTAACTTTACTTAGCCTTTTCTTGCCTTAGTATGTAGGCCATGATCCATCATATATGTTACTTTAGATTAAAGGATTAGTTGTACTAATTTACTCTTGTTTTAGAGGTTTAAGTTTATCTTCCCTGGAATGTTTATTTGAATTATGATTTCAGGTAAATCTTGCCTTACAGCTCTTTCTCTCCTCCAAGTCCATGATGTGTTCATGAATTATGTTATCTTTTAGGTAAGGAACTCTGCAATTCGGATGCTTTTTCAAACTCTTGGAAGTCATGAATTATGTTATCTCTTAGGACCGTGTGGGAGGATTGCCGTTGGAATTACGTTTATCCTACATTAGATCGTGTTTCTCACAAGGTTAGTTGAAATTCTTCCACATTGTGATTCAATCTGATTTTTCTGCTTTTTTTCTCAACTGTTATAAATATTTTTTCATAATTTAAAAGAATTGTTGAAATAATGAAAAACAAATTCAAAAACACTGAAAGAAAATTTATTCTCTATATTGCTTAGTTACAACATTAAATCTTAAAATTAAAAAAAGATGATTTAAATGTTTTACTTGAATTATATTGTAAAAATATAAATATTGGAATTGGAAATAAAAAAGAAGAAAATGATTTATTATTTGAAATATACAGTCTATATGAATCTAAGGCAAAGGAAAACTGCAACTTGTATAAATGCAAGTTCCATTTCTGAAAATCTAGTTCCAATAGTAGAAAAGAAAAATTTTGGTCTTTAATAAAAAGCAAAAATCTACTACCACTTCATCGACAAACTTATTTATAGAACTTAATTTTTATTTATAAGCAAAATTTTCTAATTTAGCTTGGTGGAGTATAATATGAAAAAAAAAATTATCCAGTTCTTACCATCATGACACGTAATCTACGTGTCTATAATTCCATCAGAGTCTTAATGTAATGTGGGTATTAAAATGCTAAACTATAAGAAAATTATATGAATAATGAAAATTCGGATATATACATATGCTTAAAAAATTGGTTGAATGTTGAAGATAGATTGAAAATAGAAAAATGCATAATACTTCACCTTATGTTTCACTAGAAACAAATGATCACAAAATCAATGAAATGTAGATAGAACTTAAAAGAAAATTGTATAACATTTTTAAAATTATTATAAATTTTGTTTGTAAATTTTATTTAAATTATTTGTTATTTTTTCAATAATGTAATTTTATTTTAAATTTATATGTTGTTTTTATGTTATTCCATTTCCAATATTTCATTCATTTATTATTCAAATTCAAATAAAATAAAGGGTAAAATACAAAAAACACCCTTTAAGTTTTTGACAATTATAAAAACCTCCCCTATAGTTTTACTTTAACAAAAACCTCCCTTCTATTCTTGACTGAGACATAAAACATTTACCTATGCATAATTCTTTTCCAAATACCCATTTTACCTTTTGTAAAATGAGTACTGAAATAACTAACCGAAGAATAGTGGCGGATTTCCAAATACCCATTTTACCCTTTTGTAAAATGAGTACTGAAATAACTATTATCCGATGAAGAATAGTGGCGGAGGGTTTCTTCTTGGTCTGTACGAGAGAGAGATGGAGTTGGGTTTGAGCTTGGGAAATGCCTCCAACGCCTTCGCTTTTGCGGACAAGAGTTATAAGGTTAGCGCCAAAGGTCTAGAGTTCTGCATGGGCTTAGGAGTTGGGATTGTTAACGGTAGAGAGGACGAGAAACTAGAAGCTGATGAACGGGATTCTGCTTTAAGGGATGCAGATGAAATGGAGGAGGAGAAAAAGGATTCTACCCATCCGCCTATTTAGCTTGATCTTCTCCCTCCTGGTCCCGTCCCTCGTAACCTGCCTTCTTCTTTCCCCAACTGAAAACGGTAATACCCAATGCGGCCAAGAATCCACTGATATCTCCACTTTTGTTTTGTTATATTTGTTCTGTTAGGCATCTTCATGTATTATTTGTCTTGATGGGTTTTAGGCTGTCGCAGGTAATTCTGAGGCAGGTTCATCAGGTCACCTAGGGGCAATGGCGAGAGGGTTCGACATCAATTGGTTGCCCGCGGCAGAGGATGTTAATGATGGGGCCGCAGTTTCTTCTCCCAATGGTACTGTTTCTTCGGGAAATGAAGTTGAGGTGGAGAGAGAGTCCTCAAGAGCCAGTGACAAGGAGAACGGCTTGACTAGGAAGAAGCTGAGACTCTCCAAAGAACAATCAGCCTTTCTCGAAGAAACCTTCAAGGAACATAATATTCTTAACCCGGTAAGTAGAAATCCCGAGAGAGAGAGTGGAGGAACTCGGTGGTGACGGTAGATTTGGCTCTCCAGTGAAATTGTGACATCTGGCACCTCATGTAAACCAAGTGCAGCCTCTTGACAACTGGGTAGCTCGGGCAGCTCGACATAGCTCGCCACAGCTAGCTCGGCATAGCTCACCACAGGCAGCTCGGCAGAGCTCGCCACAAGCAGCTCGGCATAGCCCAAGGAGCTCGACATAGCTCCCCCAGGCAGCTCGCCACTTGTAGGGTAGCTCGATATAGAAGAGCAGTTCGGCATATCACAGGAAGATCTCCTGCCTGACAACTATACCTAACAGATCCGAAGACCTGCGCCCACGTCTCTTGTCAGGCAGCGCCGTGCCTGCCAGCCCTGAGAGTTGTCCCTTGACTGGCAGAGCCGTACTCTGCAACAGCCGCTTGCACCCGCCACCTCAGCTCTGGCAGTAACGGCTGCGGCAGAGAGACAGAGGCGGTTATGCCTGATTTGACAAAGGCTGTTACGCCTAATTTGACAGGACACCACTATATAAGGACTCCGACCCCCAAAGACAAAGGATGAGAGAATGAAAAAATGGAGGTAATCCCTGCTCTTTAGCTCTCTCATTCCTCTAATATCATCTTCAAGCTCTCTACAATCAGAGTGCTAACTTAGGCATCAGAGAGTCCCCGCCGGGTAAATACCCCCGGGCCCCCTGGTTTAGTTCTCGCAGGTTCCTCACCTCTCGCCGCCTACAAAGAGGAGGAAAGATGGAGTTCTCGCAGGTTCCTCAAGTTCCCGCCGCCTACAAAGAGGAGGAAAGATGGAGTTCTCGCAGGTTCCTCAGCTCCCGCCGCCTACAAAGAGGAGGAAAAGATGGAGTTCTCGCAAGTCCCTCAGCTCCTGCCGCCTACAAAGGAGAGGAGATCACCTCATGCAAAGGGCCGTCGGGTTGCGCTACACCAGGGAGCTCCACCATCCTTTGAGTTACAGACCACCTAGGAGCAGAAAAAATGATGAGTCCACCAAGGTAGCTCACCACCAGGGAGCTCAGCATAGCTCTCCCCTGGGCAGTTCACCATTAGGGAGCTCGGCATAGCTCTCCCCTAGGCAGTTAGCCATCAGGGAGCTCGGCATAGCTCTCCCCAACTTGGCATAGCTCAGACAGTTCGGCATAGCTCTCCCCCAGGCGGTTAGCCATTAGGGAGATCGGCATAACTCGGGCAGCTCGGCATAGCTCTCCCCCAGGCAGTTCACCACCAGGGAGCTCCACCATCCTCTCTTGGGAGCAAGTCAAATGATGAGATACTTAGCGAAAAAATAAAAAAAAAATGGTACATGACCAGAACCAGTCACATCAATTAGCATTGTCTGTGGGAACACATTACAAAAAGCTAAGTTCTCATCCTACAAAAGTTAAGTTCTCATCCTACAAAATCTAAGTTCTCATCTTACAAAAGCTAAGTCCTCTTCTCCCAAAAAGCTAAGTCCTCACTTTTTAGAAATTGAAACTCTCGCTTTATAGTTTACATTTTTTATGAATTCAAAGACTATGCAGGGAGCTAACAGACTAAGTAACTTTACTTTCAATTCGGATAAAGCTTCATCAGTCCTCTTCGCAAGGTCCCCCCTACAAAGATGAGCTCTTCGTGGCTTCCGCGGGAATTGGCGGCCAACAGACTACATAGGTGCCCTTACTGGTCGAGCCTTCCAAGGCTCCCGTGTGAGCTGGCGACCTAAAGTTAGTAGTGCTGCCCCCGAAGGTCGAACTCCTAATAGCTTCTTGTAGGAGTGGGTGACCGGCATTACGAACCTGATGCAGCGCAATCACAACTCTAAGGCACCCACCTGGTCAGCTCGGCACCTCACAGGAAAAGCCTACGGGCCACATTACTGCTTAAAGACCCAGTTGCCTCCTCGACACGGGCAAAGTCAAAAAAGAGTGGACTACGAGTCACTCCCAAAGCCTACGGGCCACGTTACTGCTTAAAGACCCAGTCGCCTCTTCAGCACGGGCAAAGTCAAAGAAGAGTGGATTACGAGTCGCTCCCAAAGCCTACGGGCCACATTACTGCTTAAGACCCAGTCACCTCTCCGGCATGGGCAACGTCAAGAAAAGTGGACTACGAGTCGCTACGGGCCACATTATTACTAAAAACCCAGTCGCTTCCTCAGCATGGACAAAATCAGCAAAAGTGAACTATAAGTTGCCCCCAGAGCCTAAGGGCTACACTACTGAACTAGCGGAGACCTCCTCACCTTATAGGCAGCTCGCCACTTGCAGGCAGCTCGCCACTTGCAGGCAGCTCGCCACATACAGGCAGCTCCCAAAGCTTAAGGAATTGGATCAGCACTTACTAGCTCGTCGACTTACGGGCCAAAAGAAGAAATCTACTCCCTTCGCTGAGTTACTCTCAGCTCGAGAGTGGGGGGCAAATGATGAGGGCGGATTTGGCTCTCCAGTGAAATTGTGACACCTGGCACCTCATACAAACCAAGTGCAGCCTCTTGACAACTGGGCAGCTCGGGCAACTCGGCATAGCTCGCCACAGGCAGTTTGGCAGAGCCTGCCATAGCTCGCCACAGGCAGCTCGACATAGCTCACCACAGGCAGCTCAGCAGAGCTCACCACAAGCAGCTCGGAATAGCTCAAGGAGATTGGCATAGCTCCCCCCCCCCCTAGGCAGCTCGCCATAGGCAACTCGCCACTTGCAAGGTAGCTTGGTATAGAAGAGCAGTTCGGCATATCACAAGAAGATCTTCTGCCTGACAACCGTACCTGACAGATCCGGAGACCTGCGCCCACGTCTCTTATCAGGCGACGTCGTGCCTGCCAGCCCTAAGAGTTGTCCCTTGATTGGCAGAGCCGTACTCTGCAACAGCTGCCTGCACCCGCCACCTTAGCTCTGGCAGTAACGGCTGTGGCAGAGAGATAGAGGCTGTTACGCCTGATTTGATAGGACACCATTATATAAGGACTCCGACCCCAAAAGACAGGAGGAGAGAATGAAAAAATGGAGATAATCCCTGCTCTCTAGCTCTCTCATTCCTCTAATATCATCTTCAAGCTCTTTACGATCAGAATGCTAACTTAGGCATCGGAGAGTCCCTGGCGAGTAAATAGCTCTGGGCCCCCTGGTTTAGTTCTCACAGGTTCCTCAGCTCCTGCCACCTACAAAGAGGAGGAAAGATGGAGTTCTCGCAGGTTCCTCAAGCTCCCACCGCCTACAAAGAGGAGGAAAGATGGAGTTCTTGCAGGTTCCTCAGCTCCCGCCGCCTACAAAGAGGAGGAAAAGATGGAGTTCTCGCAGGTCCCTCAGCTCCTGCTGCCTACAAAGGAGAGGAGATCACCTCATGCAGAAGGCCGTCGGGTTGCGCTACACCAAGGAGCTCCACCATCCTCTGAGTTATAGGTCACCTAGGAGCAGGAAAAATGACGAGTCCACCAAGGTAGCTTACCACCAAGGAACTCAACATAGCTCTCCCCCGAGTAGTTCACCATCAGAGAGCTCGACATAACTCTCCCCCAGGCATTTAGCCATTAGGGAGCTCGGCATAACTCTCCCCAGCTCGGCATAGCTCTCCCCCAGGCAGTTAGCCATCAAAGAGCTCGGCATAGTTCTCCCCTAAGCAGTTCACCACCAGAAAGCTCCACCATTAGGTCAAATGACGAGGTACTTAGCCAAAAAATAAAAAATTTGATACATGACCAAAACCGGTTACATCAATGGGGAAGACCATTTTGGTTGGTACAAGCAATTCCAAGGGATTCAAAACACTAGATTATGTCACAAAGCTCACGTTTGTTGAGTTTGGATCGCCCTTCCGATTCGGCCTCGAAGCTGGCTTGAAACCCAAGCTCCTCCTTGTGTTAGGATTAGAGTCTTGGGCTCACATGTAGTTTAGCCACGTGGCCCATTTGTAGTTCAATCTGTAATTATAAATACTGCCACATCATAATGAAAAACATAATTTTTTTCCCTCATTCCCGATACCTCCTTTTCACCTTGCGATGATGTGGTTTTCAAAACCAGATCGGACTGAACGGTTGGACTAGAAAAACCAAAATCGATCATCTGACCAATTCTATTTTCCCCGAAAATCATTAATTTTGGTCAATAAACCGCTAAACCAGTAACTGTTCAAACAGTTTTAATCATTTTTTAATTTTTTTAATTTTTTATTTTTTTGTCAAAACCAACCATTCGGGTCAAATGGTCAAACCACTCAAACCAAACCCAACCCTTGACATTTTAAAAACCATGCTCAAGACGCGGAATACATTTAACGCGAGGTATTTATTGAATTTTTAAAAAATAGAAAATTTTTTGAAAAGTAGAAAAAAAGGTTTTTCTAGTTATCAGAAACTTCAGGGGAGGTTCTTATATTTTACCCTAAATTTTTTCTAATTTTTTCCCAATTAGTTGTCTATTTTGTATTATTGTATTTTGTTAAATACTTTGACATTTTCGTTCGGCCCAAGGCTAGCCCAAACCCACGGCACGACCTGTAACCTTCCCGACCCAGGCCCAGGCCCACGGCATAGCACGGCACGAGCTCGTGCAGGGCCAACTGAAGGTGGGAAATTAGCACATTCAAGAATATCTTTTGCATTCCTTTTTTTTTTACTGTTAAAGCATATTTTATATTTTATAAACAAGAAAAACAAAACTTTCTCGTTGAAACCAGCTAAATTAACAATTCCCCTACCAAACACAGCACGCACAAACAAGCATATTTTATATATCATCAGCAACAATCACAGCACACACACAGTCAAACACCCCCTTTGACTCGCTAAATTACAATGCCGTTTTAAGCAAATCAACCTAATTCACTAGTACAAGTACTTCATTAAATGCATGCATTTGCAATATAGTAGAAACTGATTGTAAAACTTATAAGCTCGTTTCAGACATTTTTGACACCTAATGACGCGGTTTTTGTTTTTTTTTTAGTTTTTACATAATAGACATGAGAGAGAGAGAGAGAGAGAGAGAGAGAGAGAGAGAGGGCAAGAGGGCAATTACTATGGATATGTACAATACAACGTAAGAGCAATTAAGCACGCTTTTATTTATTTTGGTTGAGACTAGCGGCCGCCACGACGGATGCTGCGACGCCCCCAGGATGGGTGGCCATGTTTATATTATTCCTCAGCTCCGCACCAACCACTCTTTCAGCATCCTCACGCGATGCCGCTTTGTCACTTGGTAACCTTGCCGTCGCATCCTGCATATATTAATTTGTTCCAAATTAAACAAAAGGAAAATAAGGAATGCCATCACTCCCACTGTGAAGCAAATTTCTCAACCAATCAGCCAGAAACAGAATATCTAGATCTAGCTAGGTTTGAATGAATGAATCATACCGTCAGAACATCACCCAGCTTAATCTTATCCTCATCCCGCATGGTCCGTGCATTCATACTCGCTGCAGATTGGGCTGTTGCAGCAATACCTCCTGGTGCGGTAATGTTCTGCCTCGAAGCTCTGGCCTCCGCTGCTTGAATTGCAGCTGCATCACTCTGATCAACTGGCTTGTCACCGGCTGATATCGCAGACGCTTCAAGTGCTTCCCCAATTGTAATTGGGTCGTCGGTATCAACGGCCGACGCCGGAGATCTCATTTGCATAGGAGCAGGTTGCATGTACTGTCCAACTACCTGTAATGATGTAAAGAGAAGCTTCCCTTTTGAGTCAAATAATACTGACTAGTCTACAACAACAACAACACCACCCATTACCCAATATGAATTAATACATCCCATAAAGCAACTTCAAAATTTGAGGTCACAACCTGTCCTCCAACAGATTCCGTTATCACGCGGTTCCCAAGAATATCAGTCTCTTCTACAGTCACACTCTGATTACCGGTGATGTCAGTGGCGTCGTCTTTACTAAACAGACCAGCTCTCTCGTTCTGGGTCGCCGCCGACTGCATCATAGCAGCCGGACCGCCTTTCTGGGTCTGTCCAAGCACCTGATTTTCTGCAGCCTGCATCGTGGCGGCATCTTTGGGTAAAATGGGTTTGTCCTCGAGCTCACCAGAGACCGGGAACACGTCCCCGTATGTGAACGGCTCCTCCTCAGCTTGAGGCCTTTGGGGTTGTTGTTGGCTCATCCTGGGTGACTGGTGTGTGGATTCCGGTGAGAAGCAAACGGTAGCGGTTGAAGCTTGAAGAGACACTGCAACGTACTGATCACGCTGATTCTAAAAATGAGTACAATTATCGATTTGGGTATCTTCGTAGAAGTGTATAAATACATACTCAGGCCTGAGTTGCGTCTCCGTCTCGGTTCTTGAGTGAAACGTGGCCACCATTGAATAGAGATGTTCGCCTGTCATAGAAACCGTGGCAGCTCGTTGGCAGGCTGTGTATGCTCTCAATCGTTTTTGGACAACATCAAGTTAGATTTTGTAATTCGTTGCCACGTGGTAACAACCGAAAGTAATGTCATGTGACCATGACACAAAAAAGAGGTGCATGTAATGACATGTGGCAATGTTAGGGTTAGATTTGAAAAATATGCAATCCAGATTAACTTTGGGTTGGAATAGGAATAAGGTTTTGGACAACCCAACGATTCCAACCCAACTCATATTCAACGTACATATTTGTATTAGAAAACAATTAAAAAAAGTGCAAAATTTTCAAATAAATGTTGCATACATGGTTTTTAAAACCGAACCGGTCAGGGGTCCGGTTACCGGTTCGAACGGTCTGACCGTTCGACCCGAACATCGGTCTATTCTGACAAAAATTTTAAAAAATTAAAAAATTTGAAAAACGGTCAAAATTGTTCAAACAGTTCGGATGGTTTGAACAATTAACTGGCCAGTTCAGCGATTTGCTTATCAAAATCAATAGTTGGGAAAAAAAATGGGTTTGGGGAAAACGGAACCGATCAAGTGACCGTTTCCGGTTTTTCCAGTCCGGTCCAATTTTGAAAACCATGGTTGCATTAGCTTGGACTAGGTTTTTCACAACCAACTTAGATTTAACATATTCATATGTACTGTAAATGTATTTATAGTTACCAAAAAAATGTATTTATGAGGTAAGACATTTAAGAAAAGTGCAATTAAAATATTTTCAAAATTTAAATATCTTTGCATTTTTTTATAATAATTGCTTAAATATTTCAATCTTTAAAACTAAGGAATTTTTGGACTGCAATCCCCCTCAGAAATCTATTTTACACCCCTCTTAGTCTACTAGGAACCCCCACCAGCATCAATCCACGGGCAGAATTCAGTCCACCCCTAGTTTACTAGTAGCTCCACCTAGGGGTGGACTGAATGATAAAAACCCCTAAAACTAATTGTTTTTCAAAGAAGTACAATGACAAATAAAATCTGATTGTCTTTTTATATTTTCATTCTCATAATATATTTGAAATCCTCGGCCTATAATCAGGTCTGTTATATTTGACCCCTAAGCACATATTGTCGGTGTGTGTATTGTTAAACCTAATATTAGGGCCCTGTATTCATTTTTTGGGAAGTTATTTATATGGGTAAATATATTTTTTCATATTCTTTAATTTTTCAAGTAAATAAGGAAATGGCCATTTTAGTTATAAAAAATCATTATTAAAAGAGGAAACTTTATTCCATCCAAGTTTTGGTAATTTTTCCTTAGATGGGGAAGTTATTTATCCAATGAGAGATGGGTATATATCAGTTATCCGGGTAAGTAAATTGACCAACTCCCCCCCCCCCCCTCAAAGTCAAAAAAGAAGAAGAAGAAGAAGAACGGAATACAAATATGTATAATATAAATACAAGGTTTAAAAAGACTTTATGGTAAAAGACTTAGACATGCCCTGAATTTTCATAAATTGACTTAAGTATACCCTAAATTTTTCAAAAAGACCTCTGTATAAGGAGAAAAGAAGAATGTGGGAGGAGAGAAGAAGAAGAAAGATGGCCAACAACAAACTGATTTAGGCTATTTTTGGTTCTCTACGTCTCATTTTCTAATTCTTGTTCATCTTAAGCAAGAATGGGTGAGAATGAGTAGCATTAGAGTATTTGATTACAAAATTCTTGTCATGGGCTTCACTTTTTTTTAGATTAGCCTATAGCACAAAAATTGAGGTAGCCTATAGCACAAAAATTGAGGTAGCCTATAGCATGAAAAATAACCATGCCCATGTTTAGTTCAACTCTCATTCTTTCTCATTCTTATTCAAAATGAAATTCTAAAATGAACAAGAATGGGTAAAATGGGTAGAATGAGAAAATATTACTATGAACTAAATGTTTTTTTCTAAAACTGATATTTTTTTTCAGACTGACAAGTGCTCCATATTGTTCGTTTTCATTCTTCAAAACAACTCTATGTTAAATTGTTGGCCTAATTCTCCAAAGCTGCCAAAATAGATATTTACCAGCGAATGGCCGATGGTTAATGTCTATCGGTGTAAGTTTCTATGGCAATTTGCTAATAAACATCTATGACAATAGTTATGTAGACCTAGGCATAGAACTTCTAGAATAAAAATGAGCAAGATACAATTAACTAAGGAACCAGTCCGTGTAATAAAAGTGGAATATTTTCATTAAGGCTAAGTTTGGAAAGTGTACAAAATACAAATATGTACATTGCAAATACATACAAAATAATATAAAATATAGGGTTTTACGCTTATTTGTACTCCTTTCGAACTCAACCTAAAGAAATTGTTCATGATTGAGTATGGAGTATGGGCCAATATTAGGCACGAACCAATGATGTTCACCAACACAGTCCAAAAGGTGACGTAGTAATTTTTGAAACTAAGCTTCAATAGTAGTTAATTGTGATAAAAAAGGATATACAACCCCCCCCCCCCCTTGTTAAATATAAATTGACCAGTTTTTTTTACTGTGAAAGGATTCACACGCATAAGAGATGCTTTTTTTAATTCATCTGAGAGAGTTTAAGAAAAACAAAAACAAAGAGCACAAAAACAGAAAAAAAAATAAAGAAAAAACTCAAAACAAAATTAAATGAGGGATGACTACCCCCACAACATCAGCAAATAGAAGAAACTCAAACTCACTGGGAGGTATAGAGAATTCCCTATACTGAATCTTAGTGCTCCAAGCTAAATTAGCCATAAAGTGACACATCTGTTGGCCTCCACGTAGCAGTGACTAATACGAACTTTCCAATCTCTGTTCAGAAGAGCTTTGATCTCCTCGCTTATTGTAGAGAGACACCAGTTATCATCCCTACCACCTTTAAGAATTTGAATGGTGGAAAGCAAATCTGACTCCAAAATGATTTTGTGGTAGACTAAGTTCCATGTCAAGACAAGCCCAAACTTGACAGCCCACAATTCTGCCAAGTCAATTGGGAATTTCTAATGTAAGTAGTGAAGCCTCCTTTCCATTGTCCAATTTGATATCGGGGAAGGCCCTCAGTCACAGCACCACCATTTTGGCCCTTGACAACTCCATCTATATTGATTTTGATCCATTGATCACCAAGAGCTTCTCATTTGATGTCTCTCCAGGTCTGCAAATAGTTTGATTCTTAACAAGAGCGTTAGTATATTGGGCACACAGAAAGCTGTCAACATAGTTTTTTTGCAAGATTTGTAATATAAGTGGGAGTGTAGTTGATATTGTTGAAGACTTTTTTTTTTATTTCCAGCCCTCCAAATCAGCCAATTTAAATAACTAAAATAAGCTACCCTAAGTATTACTAGTCTCTAGATTACTTTCAACCCAACTTTTAACTAGTGGGTGTGGGATGATTATCATGCAAATTGCAAACTTCCTTAGAACCTACATTCCATAAATACATGATCAATTGATTCCATACTCTCATTGCAAAAGGGGCATTCACTAGGAACCCAAATATTTCACTTTATTAAGCATCGCGAGTGGGGAGTTTTTTTATGATAGAGCAGCCATAAAAATATTTTCACCCTTGGTTGACATGGAGCTTTTCAAATCAAATTAAAAGCTTGAAATTTAGGGGCATCATTTTCTTTTCTAATAATTGTATAAACTAATTTAGTTGAAACATTACGTCTTTAGTGTCAGGCCATATCCAATGGTCCTTTTTTTGCAACCCTAAATTTAAAGGGATTGCCATGATTTTTTCAACCATATCTCTCGACAAGAGAGAAGATAACAGGTTGATGTCCCAATCATTAGAAGCAGGTATATAGTCTTTTACATCTCTCAAATTAACATTTTGGAGCGGCCCATGCAACCGGTTCTACCTACAAGTAATCTTAGTAGCCCATGGGTCATCCCAAATTTTAGTGTCTTCTCCATTCCCAATGGCACCTATGAGTCCCTCCCTAAGAAATTTGCAATCTTTAGTTATTCCCTTCCAAATCCAAGGGTCATGACCTTATATGCATGGGTTCAGAACATCAATTCCCTTATCGTATTTACTAATTAGGATTTTGGATCACAAACTATCTTGATTACAATAGAGGTGCCACACTAATTTAGTGAGAAGAGCTAGATTTAGGGAGTGAATGTCCTTAATTCCAAGCCCTCTAGCATGCTTAGGAGTCAAAATCTTCTCCCATTTAATGAGATGCAATTTCTTGTGATCAAGAGAACTTCCTCACAAAAAAACTTTCTTCTAGCTTTATCTACATCTTGGCAGGTGCTAGAGGGTAAACAAAAAATTTGCATGGCATGGAGGGGAATTGAAGAGAGAGTAGATTGGAGAAAGACTAATCTATCAGCAAGACTAAGAGTATTTGCCTTCCATCTTGATAATTTAGTTTGAACATAATCCACCACATAATGGAAAGTATGTTTAGTAACCCTACCACTGAAAACAAGGAGCCCAAGATATTTATCAAGGTTGTTAGAAGCCCTAACCCTAATATTTCTGGCCAACATCGGGTGTGTCTATGGGGAACATTACAAAAATTATCCAAGATATTTCTTGCACTATTTAGTTGAGTAATGGAGGCCTTTAGAAAAATAAACAAGTCATCTGCATAGAAGATGTGAGACAACTCGGGGCTTGTTCTAGAGAATTTAAATAGCTTCATCTCACCATTAGCCACAACTTTATTAAGCATACCCAAAAAAGTTTCTAAACAAATTAGAAAAATGTAGGGGGACAAGGGGTCCCCTTGCGGGTTTAAATGGTTCAAGAATTGAACCGTTAAAAGATAACATTAAAAATAGGGGTGGTAATACAACTCATGATCAAATTAACACATCGCTTAGGTATTTTAATAAATTCAAGAGACTTTTTAATAAATAACCAATTGAGCTTATCATAAGCTTTTTCAAGGTCAATTTTAATTCCAACAAAACCTTCCTTGCTGCTTTTCCTTTTGAAAGAATGAAGAACTTCATGTAAAATGATCACATTATCTTTTAAATATAGTCAGGGACAAAAGTAGACTGGTTTGGTGAAATGAATTTCGATAAGAGAGGTTTGAGTCTAGCTACAATAAGATTTGCAATTACTTTATAATTAAATAGTATTACAAAGACCAATAGGATGGAACTGTGACTGGGGGGAACCATTGATCGATATTGTTAGGACTTAGGAGCATCACCAAAACAAGGGTCAAGGTTAAAATTTCGGTTATTGACTAAAGATGATGAGTATAAACTAATAAAGTGACTCTTGCACATCTTTTTTAACTCACCATTATTAGTGATCTACATATTATTTTTCTTTAAGGGGCAAAATCCTTTTTCACTAACCCCTCTTAAGAGTCATAGTTTAAATCATCATTTTGTAACCAATTAAATCTGGCATTTTGGCTCCATGTTCAAGGATGTTGAAATATTCCTCATCGAGTGAAATTTGAAGATCATTGAGGAACCGAAAAGGCCTTGGTTCAAAACATTTTTGAATTCCCTCAATTCTTCTCAAAATGTGTCTTCTCCTTCTAAAAGCACTACCAAAAACATTCATATTTCAGGACTTGGTGAAAAAAGGCAAAGTTTTAGAGGCATTACAAACCAGAGAAATAGCTGAAGACACTGAAGGTACTTGCCATGCCTCCCTCACCACCTCCTTAAAAGAATCATTTGTAAACCATGCATGCTCAATATAAAAAGGAGGATTATGGTTAGGAAATATTTCAGTTAAATCAATGAGCAAAGGACAGTGATTAGAGGAAGTTTTTAACAACTGAATAACTGTTGCATGAGGGTATATCACTCTCCAATCTGAATTAGAAAGACACCGATCCAAAGGAGTTGACCATTTGTCCAATTTATGAACATTGGGGGTCTGCCATCCCGTTTCTCGCTAGGATCCAAGATGGCGTTGAAATTGCCCATCCACCTACAAACATTATTGATGTTATTTGCTGAACTTTGTAGTTCTAACCAAGTTTGGGATCGTTGTCTTGCATCTGAATAACCATATGGTCCATATATGGTGGAGAGGGTCCAATGAAATTGAGATCGGTGATGATGAATCGTTGCATGGATACAGTGGTTAGAAATACTAGTTCTATGTACCGCTATGTCTTCATTCTTCCAAAGCAACCAATGCCCCCACTATAAGAAAAATCGGCTAAGCCGGCAGTCATAAAAAACACCGGCCTAGATGCATTAATGGTGGCGGTTTTGTCATAACTGTCACCAGTGAATTAAATCAGGGAAATGGTTAAAATAGGGTGGCGGTTTAGTGAATTAAACCGGCGGTATTCGCATTAAACCAGCCGGTCTTTATTAGATTATTCTTAAACCGACTGGTTCAATGTTTTCCCTCCATTTCTAAAATCATGGAGCCGAATTCTACTCCGTCCGTCTTGGGAGAGTGCAACTCTTCTTCTATACTTTCTCTCTCAATTGATCGAGAATCTGAATTGATGAGCTCAGACTTTTATTCAATCGGCGCATTGAGAGATGTGAAATTCAACAGAGAAGTCGAGAAAGGTAAAACCCTTGTATTTTTTATACCCCATTCTTCTTTCTCTATAAATTATAAAACCCTAATCGTGCTTTTTTTATTCATCTGGCGAGAACAGCTGCTGCTCTACACTCCTAGTACGCAGAAGAACAAGGAAAGGGCGGAAAAGAGGTAACATTCGCCCTTTCATTCCGTTTAGCAAACTATGATATTCATTTTGCTCGTTTCCTATATTTGAATGCTCCAAATTATGTTGTTCTTAGATTCCTCCGTCCCCTAGCCCCATGTCAATGCCGAGTTTGGATTCTAGCCATCTCAGTCCAGACAATTCAACAAAAGCACGGCCGAAAGGCTCAGATGGTCAGGGTGCACAGATTCCGCAGACTAAAACGCCGAGTAACCATGGCGGGAATAAATCTAACAGTCTCGTTGGTTCACCAGAAGGAAATTGTGTAGACACACCTAACAGATGCATAGAAAAGAAGAAGATGATTGCCTGCCTTAAACATTCTGAAGATGGTAATGAAAATCCTTTCCCTTCATGTGTCTTGTCCACTTATATTCCACCACATGTAATTGTTTGTTTTACCTTTCTAAATCGAGCCTAGTTACGTAGTCGGCTACATGGATTTTGCATTTTTAGTTAGTCTCTAGTATGCGGATTTTGTTTAATTTAGCTAATATCCAATTGCATGATTACACCATAGCGATGCCTATAGGTGAAATCCATCCCTGAAATACCTTATAGTTGGTTCTTATATTATTGAAGAATCATGGGTTTGTCCTAGGCCTTCATGCTTGGGCTTAAGATTTTCTCGTTCAACTTGTTAGTTCTGATCTTAGTTTGAACTTCTTCCAATATATATATATATATATATGAGAAAAGGTAAAGTATGATTGTATTAAAGTAAAGGTCCTTTGTACAATGAGAATCTGTACAAAAAGCTGACAAGTTGGACCTCAAAAAAAGGCCATCCTCAACAAAAAACTATTTGACATGTCATCTTCCAGTTTGTATTTTGACTCAGGGTGAATTGTGTTCTTTGACATGTATATTTGGTGGTGTTCCCACTATTCCTTTGACTATCATCAATTTATAAGAGAATCCATAAGGGAAGGAACATCTTCAATTGTTGTTGGATTTTTATTTTTATTTTTATTTGTTTTAATTGATAATTGAGAAGACTGCACTAAAACCATACAATAGGGCATAGTTTTCAGATATACTTATTTTTCTGGGCATGTTTGTCCTTTAATATCGCTGGTCTTAAATCTGACTTTAAGATTTTTTCCTTTTGTACTCATTGGTTTCTGCTGATCACACAGAATGGCGGATGCATTTTATTTATACCAACTGCTCAAAATCTTCTAGATATGCATTTGTTCTTGAAGATATTCTCCTTCCTTTCTTCCAAAGGGACCAAACAATAGGAACTAGGAAGATGCCATAAAATTCCCTTACTGGTCAAGCTAATATGGGTTTGTCTTGGGGAGTAGCTAAATTCATCCAAATTCTCCTTAAAATCTGGTTGGGATCACTGACATCAGTCACTACAGCAAGTAGGGAGATTCTGACCCATAACTTTGTATATTGGGGAAGACATGCATCAGTGAGATCAAATGATCAATCATTAAAAGTTTACCCAAATACTCTCACATTTGTATATATGAGGGCTCCAAATAAACTTAACTAGAATCACTCTTGAAATAACCATTGTGCAAGGTTTTGATCAAGAAAATAATGATGTCCACTTTCTAACCTCAAACCTCTCCCTTCAATCCTTTGTTCAGAGGAATGCACTGAATTGGGTGGCAATAATTCATACAGAGAACTGGCTTCTTAATCACAACTTTTAACGATCACCTCCTTATCGGTGGTTGATTGCATGATGGACAAGAATACCTGATTTAAGTTTAATCCCACACTAAACATCATCCCAAAATCTGACACATTTATTGTTATAATCAATATGAATTCATAACACTTTAGTTATGTTATAGTCTTCTAGATGCCATTGTCATAATCAATATGAATTCTCCTAGGTCTTAATTCATAACCTTTGCAGTGGTCAAAATCATAAAAAAACTTGAGATTGGATCATCCACCCTGCTCATTAGTTTGAGAATGCAGTGTGGCTGTCATTCCCATAATCATTGTCTTTACATTCACTTTGTTTTGGAGCATGTTCACTTCATTACCGTGTCAGATTTAAGGAGACAAAATGAAGACCAACTTCTGAAGGAACAATTTCAGGAAAATTGTAGAGAAATGAAGAGGGCTTTTATTAGAAACAATTAAGACCTAGGAGGGTTTTTATTAAAAACAATTAAGACCTAAGAGGGTTTCTATTTGAGTAATGGATGAATTTTATTAGAGACAATTAAGAGCGGAGAGGGATTATTTTTTTATCAGTAGAAAAAAAAATATTAATGTAACTTGAAGATTACAGAAGTTTACAATTTGCCCAAAACAAATGTTGTCTTAAAGCCCCTTGCTTTGCTAGTGTCTGTCATTCCATTTGCTGTTCTTCTACCTATATGAAAGAAGCATTTAACTCCCTTGTTAAACTCTCAATCTCCCTGAATTTATTTTGGCTATATATATATAAGCAGGTCTCTTACAAGCAAGACCTATGTATGGCTGAAGGGAGGTCCTTGCGAAATATCAATTGTTCCCTTTCCATGTATAGGAAACCACATCTGTTTTTTCCTGCTTTAGGTCATAACGACAGTGTAAATAGCTGTTTGAACTTGGAGGGCTCTTGATCAGATAGTTTGGATGTGCCATGTCAACCAGAACCTCATCATCATTGTCCAAGCCTTATCCAACATGTTAACCAGAATTCAAAAGATAAAATAAAGGAAAAGGAAATGTGATTGAAATTTTTCCATTTCATTTTTTCAGTTGGTTTCTTCACAGAAAGGAACCATGTTTTGACTTCTTTTTGCCCCTCTAACAGGATCCCTGGAGTTATTCCTTCTGGTACAGAATGATGGAGAGGACACTTTGAAAACAAACATCATAGTCCCAGCATCTATAGACATTCCTGTCGAGCAACTAGGGATAACCCAAACACCAAACCAGAAAGGTCTGGCTCTATAGCCTTTGTATTTCTTTTTACCATGTTTTTCACACCAAGTATATATAAATACGACTGCATGCACAAATACACCTGACACATACATGCACATATCTGCATTTTTTCTTTGTGTACCTTAGTAGTTTTCCTTTGTTTCTTTTGTTTCAGATCAAAATCTCAGTTAGTACGGAAGAAAGCCTCAAGATAGTATTTAATGCTGGAAATGGGCAATGCATGCTTCACATGGGATCATCTGTATCTGATGGCTTTTATCAGAAAATCCCTGCTTATGCCAACCTCGTGACACCCATCTATGGTGTTTACTTCTCGTTTCTAATTTCTTTGATAGTTGTGGGGACATGGGCCTGCTGCAAATTGGGGAAAAGGCGGCACAGTGATGGAGTCCCATACTAGGAACTTGAAATGGGGCTACCAGAGTCTGTTCTAGCTGTTGATGTGGAAACAGTAGATGGTTGGGATCAGGGTTGGGATGAAGAGAAAGTAGACATGGTATGATCTGCCAATACCCGTAACTTTGTGCTATCTATATCTGTGTTAAAATCTTGCAGGTTGCCTTCTTCACAAAGAGGGGGTATGACAGTTTTAGGGAAAGTTGCCGTCCCAAAGCCTATTAACTTGCACAGTCAAAGGTATTAACTTCTTGTGAGGGCAATTATTTTTTTTGTACAATATTGCTGACTGACTGCTTTTGTCTATCATCTGATCTATCTTCTATTTTTCTGTTATTTTAAGGTTGGAAAACCATGGTGTAGATCCAAATGTGGAAATTGTCCCCAAGTCGTTGCTTTCAACTTTCCAAGTTGTGCTTGACAAACTTTAATTCTTGAGTCGCCTCAGTTTAACCCAAAGTATAACTTATTAGTCTGACCTTTTCCTATTTTCTAAACCCTGAATACCAATTTTAACTGAGTTACAAAGAAGGATAATTTCCAGACTCACTGTCTTTGTGCCCATCAAACTCAAATCAGGTTGACTAGTCCATCTTTTATATCCACTCAAAAGACAATAGACATTCTGAATTTGCTGTCTTAATGCCTAATGGAATAAAGTATGAAAACTTAAATATAAAAATCCATTCTTTTACAAAATGTTGCATTCTCGAAATATCACTATAAACATTAAAAAAGAAAGGCTGTAGTTAGATCAATTGGGGTTATTCTTCAAACCATATCATAATGGTCATAGATCAATAAAAAGACTAGATGGATATCTTATTGTTGCTTGAATTATAAAAGAAAAAGCCTACTCTTTCTGAAACATTTGTGATGAATTTGGACAGGATGTGAATTGGAGTAGCTCCAACAATCACAAAATTGCCTATTCTACTGAAGTGGCTCCAAAAGAAAATTTATTTTTAAATTATCCCCTAGATTCCCAAATTTTCTCATACCCATTTGGACCCCCTTCCCCTGTAAACTATTACGGGTATTAAAGCCTTTTTTTATTTACTTTTCTTTTCATCTATGCTGAGTTAATAGTACTCTTAATGAACATGGTTTTCCCTATTGATGCAAGGAGATATTAAATTTGTTGAGGTTGTTAAAAAGATGGGAGCAGAAATGTCAAGTTACAGGCCCACCCCAATACTCCTCATTCTAGGAACACTTGTGTGTCATTGATGTAAACATGAATAAAATGCCCGATGTTAACTTCCAAGAATTATTGAGAAGAGCTGTGGATGCATATTTCAAAGTGATGGTTCCAATAAAGGATCTAAGGTGATCTTTGTCATCATAATGGATCCAAGATGTTGCAGGAAAACCTCCCCTAGCTGTTCTTATGGTCTTTAGAAATCTATGAAGCATTGGTCATTTGAAAAACTAGTAATGCATATCAGCTTACTAAAACTTGAGTATAAGTGCAAATTAGATTATCAGAATTGATTGTATTGAATTCTTGTTTCAGGTTTCAGTTTCATAATTAAATAAATGCTTTTTTTACTAAAAAATTAATATGCACTATGCATTTGTTTTATTAATTTTATGCTTTAGGTTTTAGCAGGTGTCAACTGATTTTCTTAATTAAAAAATAATAATAATAACCTATGCCGGCGGTCATACAAACCACCACCTTTGGCAAATCATTATACTTAAGGCGGTGGTCAAATGGGATCTAAGCTGGCGGTCACCTTAGACATTCAAGGAATGTGGGACAAACCTAAGGCGGCGATTAGGTAAGATCTAAGATGGCGGTCCACACTGCTGCCGTAAATAGGTTTGAGCTGGCGATTCTCAGAAACCGCCGATTTAACAATGTTTTGAACCATTTCAGACCAGCCACTAAAGGCGGCGGTCTTGTCTATATAAGCCGGCCGTCTGATCTAAGGTGACAGTGGATGAGGCGGCAGGTGTTCCATATACCTATGGTGGTGGTTTTAGAACCTAAGCCGGCAGGTGTTCCATATACCTTCGGGGTCAATAATATAGGATCCTGAGAAACCTAGACCCACATGAATTTGAAAAGGTTCAGAAATTTAAAAAAAAAATAAAAATAAAAAATCATAAAATTTATTTAAAATCTATGATATGAAAAAGATATGGTATGAAAAGAATTTTGACCAATAATTTTGATAAATAACACCTGATTCGTTATCAAGTCTATGATTCCAGTTGATTGGTCAGTTATTTTTTGGATAGCATATCTTTTCCATATCATTTTTTTAATATGTTTAAACCTTTTAGGTTTTGCACTGAAGATGTGGATGTGTGTTTGAACTAACTCTTCCCAAACTGAACCTTAATTTCTTCCAAAAGCAAAGTCAAAAAATGAATAATATATTATTTTCTCTTCCAAACTGAGCCTTAATTTCTTTTTAGTAAAAAAAATGAAAATATATTATTTTATCTTGGGGCTACAATTAGATTAGATGATTTGATTTTAGATTGGGTCGAGATTTGGTTGAAGTTCAAGTTTATATTTATATCATCATGTTTTGGGTTGGGGAGATGGGGGTTCAGTAGTCATATCAATACCTCAGCTTTGGCTAGGGTTCGGCCCAACCAAACCGGGCTAACCCCACCCGACTTGTACACCTTTCCACAATCATATCATCCAAGAGGAAATTAGATACATGGACCTACAGACGGATCCGGCCGGGGATCCGGGTTAACAGAACCATAGATGCATTGGGGCTTTCAGCCTTTCACTGAACAATATAAAACCCTTAAGACGCGTTTACTTTGAAGGGGTTGGTTTCATCATATCAACCCCAATAAAGTCATACCTTTCATTTTGAACTGCAACCTTTATTAGTTTATTTATTTCACAAAAAAAAATATCATATATTTAAGTCATAATCGTTCATTCCTGGAAAATATCATATATTTCAACTTTTTTTTCCTTACCAAAAAAATCACCATAAAATAGAAGGGAATTTTCTCTGAATCTGAAAGTTATTAGGAATTTCACAAATTTTGTTAATAGCTTTTCTATCAACCTATTGTTTCTATCTTATAATGATGTAGCGACCTCAAAAACATACATTGTCTGACGTGGCATACTTGAAAACTAATAATGAGATTAATCCACCGTCCAAATATCATAAACCTTTGGCGGTCCATCAAGGTCCAACTATAGGTCCGAGTTGTCTAGGCCACGTGGCAAGTCAAAACCAAGAGTCTGGACCACTTATGTGGGCTGAAAAACAACCCGACCATCTGATCTGCTCGGCCCAACTTAAAATTCTAGAGTTAAGGGCTGGATGTGGACCAGTCGAATTAGAAAATTCAAAAGAATTGGGCTTGCTGACGACGGTGGATCTCGAAAAAATATGAATGAAATCAATGCGTGCAGCGTGCTCAGGTTGCGGATCACTTTAAAAATTAGAAGTTGATATACGAATTCACTTGAAAGAAAATAGGTGCCCTCGTCCGATCCAAACCGCATTATGAGATCCTTTGGGTTTTGCCTTATCTCCATCAAAGAATGTTAAATTGCAATACCGCAGTATCTTTAGTTGCATTCAGCTTGGGTAGTTTAGTTATTATATACTTAATTACATTGAAATGGATCGGGTCATATTAATTTGCACTGATAAATGTAAATTTAATTTTGTACCTGTTGTTTCAAATATTAGCAACTTTAGCTTATTTTGTTTTGTTTGATTGCAAATTTGCAATATAAATGAAGTAAATAAGACATGAAGCAGAATAAAGTAAAACCCAAAACCGAATTAAATGAGAATTTGCAATTTTTTTCATTTGCACTCCCAAGCATTTGTTTTTGCACTGCCACCAAACGCAGCATCTGAAACAAACCATTGCTTTTCCATGTATCAGTATTAAGTATTAACCCGCTCCGTGGTCCATACCCTAAACTCTGAATAACGAGAACAAGTGCAAAACCAACAAACAAATAAACATTTTTTTTCCATCTGTAGTCTGTAGAGTAGATGTAGATATATCCCTGTGAAAACTCCAGTTCCATACTACCCAAGTAAACAAAAGGAGAGTGAAATAAGAAAGAGATCAACTCATCTACACAAGCATAAGCGTGATTACTACACATATACAGAGTCACAGAGCCAAGTAATCTCTTTTCTCTTGTCTTTACATATATTTATTCTCGTTTAAATCGGCAGCGGCTATCACCGATTCCGCCACTCCGCCAGGATAAATGGTGGAGTTGGGATTGTTCCGCACCTCCGCGTTAATAATCCCTTCAGCATCTTGAAACGTCACCGGTTTGTCTGCCGGTAGCTTTGCCGTCGCAACCTGCCATTACGCGCGTACAAATTAAGAAAATTATCAGACGTTTTCTGCTCTGATCACACCCATTAAGCATTGAGATTTGAGACTCGTTAAAGAAGCCATTACCACCAGAACATCGCCGAGTTTGATCTTGTCTTCGTCCCGAGTTGTCTGGGCATTGGCATTCGCTGCTGACTGAGCTGAAGCAGCTAGACCTCCCGACATGATAGTTTTTTGGCCGGTTGCTCTAACCTCTGCTGCTTGGATTGCAGCAGCGTCACTCTTATCAACTGGCTTGTCACCGGCTGCTACCACAGACGCTTCGAGTGCTTCTCCAATTGTAAGCTTTCCCTGTTGTGCAGCCAATTCCGGCTGCAGCGGCAGCGGTTCGGTGTACTGCCCAACTACCTATAAAACTAGCTTCTTTATTCAGTTATACCAAGCGATTAAAACACCGATGAAATAAAGGCCACCGGAGAGAGAGAGAGAGAGAGAGAGAGAGACCTGTCCTGCGACTGCCTCTGTTACTATGCGGCTTCCGGGAACATCAATCTCTGAAACGGTGACACCCTCATTGCCGGTGATATCAGTGAAATCGGTGTGACCCACAACACCAGCCTTCTCGTTTCGTGCTGACGCGGAAAGCATCTTGGCAGCAGGACCGCCCTTTTGGGTCTTCCCAAGCACCAGATGCTCCGCAGTCTGCATCATGGCAGCATCTTGCGGTGCTATGGGTTTGTCCGCAAGTTCGCCGGAGACGAGAAACACATCACCGTATTTGATCGGCTCCTGCTTACCGTGACGCCCCTGTTCTTGAGACTGCATATCTTGCCCGCCTTGATTCATCTGTGACTGTCCGTGGGGTCTCTGAGGCTGTTCCTGGCTCATATTGAAATTCCGGTTGATGGGTAGTAGGACCTAAAAGGCTCTGTTACAACTTAATTGATAGAACTCAAAGTAACAGATTTAGATTGTATGCGCCATTGCTCTCTGGAACGGCATATATGTAAGAGGAAAACTAGGACACATCGATTTTAGAGGGACACGTTACTGATGCATCTTTTGACAGTTTGCTCTTAAATGTAATCGTGGCAGCAATTAGGCTCTCGCTTTGTAGAATCTACACTCCACACTCGATCTGAGATCTCCCACCACCCACCCTAATCAACGCGGCTTACCAACTCGTCTACAAAAGTTATTTCAGAATTGTATCTCGCTGTGTAGGTAGAAAGTAGAAAGTAGAAAGTTCCCATTAAAGAAAGTTTTACAAAGATTTCGGTCTATATTTATTATCTAAATTTGTAAATGAAAATCTAGAACAGTCAAAGTAAACTTTCCTAATATTGTTCAGATCATCAATAGAATTAATGACATACCCCTCATTAGTTCAGGGCGCGGTTTTGAAGTGCACCTGTTTGGTTGCAATATAAATAAATTTGCACTGATGCAAAATTAAGGTAGTACAAATGATTTGAGTGTAAATTTTAACCTATTTTTTGTTTCAAATTTTAACTTATTTTGTTTAATTACGGTATAAATGAAATAAATTAAAACATGAAGAATAAAATAAAATAAAATAAGAATATGCATTTTTTACATTTACATTCTCATGCATTCATACTAATTGCACTGCAACCGAACATAGCCTTAATAGTTTAATTTACTTGAGTACTGCTCCCAATTCCTGACCACGAGATTAAACTATAGTAATTAAATGAACATTCTCCGACTGTGTTGTGGTCAAGACTCAAAGAGTCATTCTAGTGAAACCTTTTTATTAATTTTATGATTTATCTTTGCCGCGTCCCTTGGAGGGGCGATAAGACAAGTAGCCTCTAACCTTTGAATCCTTCTATTCATGAAAAAATTAGAATTTGCTAATTGCCATTTGCCAACTTGACCCATTAGCTAGAAATGTCAGCTAATTGGGGTAGATAATTGAATTCATTCACATATTTCTTCTTCTACTTTCTTACTAACTGCCTTTTCTCCATATTTGATTCCTTTTTCTCCATCGCCATAACTCTTGAGGAATATCAAAAGTTGTATACAACAGAATTATCCTTGCTTATTGATGATGTTAAATCCGAAGTGGTGCATGAATTGAGGAGAACAATCATATAGTCTTTCTTAATAGGATGGAGCCAAGGTGGAAGGACAGAACCACGCTTCAAGACCTATGATCAAGAAAAGGAAGTCAGAGGCCTGAGGAATTATCCCCGGGTAGGCACTTTAACGCTCAAGTCAATAGAAGGTGGTGGATGATCGGGTCAAGCAATGAGGGTGCTTGTTTGAGCAGAGTAACAGTATGGGTGTCAGAAGTTCGATCCCTTACCTTGAGTATAGAGTACATTTTTATAGTTGAAAATCTGTGTCTTGATCGGATTGAGCTTCCGAGGTTATCGGAATGAGGTTAGCCGCCAAAGTATTTGGGATAGAGTCCTATTCCCCGACGGAGTTGTCTTCCTTACTCCTCTTTATCCGTAGTTATACTTATTTACGTGACGCGTAGTTGACGTGGCCGAAAGGATAAGATGGGGGCTACAGTAATAGCATAGCCCGGTCTAGGCTATAGAGTCAATGTATGCCACGAACCTGGTTGAGCTATGCTGACGTGATCGGGGTGACTGGGCAACCATTTGTCTTTCAGGACCAGCTCAGTCATGACCCGAACACCACTCCCCTAGTTCTAAAGTCGAGACATGAAGTGCTCAACTGAGGTGTAGCGCGGTAGGATGCTTTGTTCCTCGGCTGAAAAACTCCAAGTTGAAGTCTGGTTGAGCATTTGGTCCACTTGATGTTCCTCAGTGCTTGTCAGAATTTGAGGTCCGCGCAATGTGGGCTGTGGCCGAGGAGTCCTTCAATCGCCGGCTGCAAAACTCCAAGAATTGTAACTTCGGAATCCGAACACCACTCCCCCAGTTCTGGAGCCGAGGAGGGGGAGTGCTCGGCCGAGGTGTTGCGTGGTCGTGTAGCTCGGCAGGGCACCAAGGTGTTGAGCCGAGCTTCGAGGTCTGGATCTTCCTGATGGTGCTGAGGAAGGGCTCTTTGTTCCTCGGTTGGAATGTTGCATGGTCGCTTAGTTCGGCCAGGTGTCGAGGTGGAGTTAAGCTTTGTAGCTGGGGCCTCTCTGATGCTTAGCGATGCTGTGCTGAGGAGGGTGCCGAGCTCCGAAATCTGGGCCTCTCCGATGCTCGGTAGCGCTGTGCCGAGGAAGGGCTCTTTGTTCTTTAGCTAAGTTGTTATCGAAATTTCGGAATCCGAACAACCCACACCTCCAGTTCCAAAGTCAAAGAGTGGGATGCCCGGTTGAGGAGCGGCGCAGCCTCCTATAGTTGGTGTCTATTGTTGGTGTCTTGAGGGGACCCGAGGGGTTAACTGGACCAGTGATCCCGGGTGAACCCCGAGTGTCCGCGGCGTTGGTTGGACCGGTGCTAAAGGGTGAACCAGGGAAATTAATGCCCTGACCATTTCTTGTCAAGATCGTCGCATCGGTTCTCGAGGCTATGTGCGTGCGGTGACAGTCGCATCGATTGATCTTCCCGAGCTTCGCCAGAGTGGCGCTTGATCCCTACTATTGATTTGGCGTCAATTTGTGTGATTCGTGTTCCTAGGGGTTATAAGAAGGGGTGGACAGGCATTTCTCCTTTGTCACTTGCGAGAGGAGTTGCACAGATTGCTCAACGAGGTGTTGTTGGCGTTACTCGGCCTTTTCTCTTGTTCCTCGGCTTCAAGTTCGGTAAGATGTCTTCCTCATCCCCCCGTTCTTCTTCTGCTTCTAGTTCTTCAGGTTCTAGTGATTCTGACTATGAGTCAGAGGTTGGCGATTTCAAGGCTGCCGAGGTTGAGGAGGTCGAGGTTGGTCCCTCTAGGGTAGAAGTAGAGCTTCCCTTGCGGGCTGGTCGCCGGTTTGGGACCACACCCTATGTCTTGACCCCTGAGGATATGGCTCGGATCCGAGCTATGTACAACATCTCCGAGGAATTTTGAATGAGGTGCCCACAACCAGGTGGGATGGAAATAGATGCTCGGTCCGATGAGATAGTGCTTGGATGGTACCGAGTATTGCCGGTGCAGCTGATGCCGAACTCCTTTAGGTTTTTGTTCGGCCTTATGTTCTACTGTGCGGTTTGTGACATTGAGTTGACCCTAGGTATGGTGAGCTCCCTTCTTCAGTTGAAACCTCACCAGTAGAGCTACTATTACTTCTCGACTAGGAAGAACATCAAGTTGTTGGTCGGGGCCCCTTCCTCTATGAAGCATTGGAAGGAGACTTTCTTCTTCGTGCGTTGTCCTGGGGGCCTCCCTTTCCCGGCCGTGCTACAGGAGCTGAGGACGAGAGTGCCGCAACCTCTGTAGTCTATTCTCACCTGGGAGGAGAGGTCGGTTCTGAGCATGTTTCATGAGATAGACGTGGCAGTGTACACATGCTCAGAGATGTTGATGCTCGCCAGTTTGATGCACAGGGTGGCTGGTCAATTCTTTTTGTTGCTTCAGTTTACTTATCGAATTATGTATACTTTTTTTATTGCTTCTCTGATCTTGTGCTTATTGTTATGATCCTATGGTGCAGGTGTGGAGATGGCGAGCGAGGAGGAGATTGTCCGCTGGATGAGAGAGAATCGGCAGAATCGGGCTGGCGCGCAACCACTGGTCAATCCAGAGGTAGTCCCTCCGTCGAGGTCTTTAGAGAGGGCGTCCCGTCACCAGAAAAGAGTTCGGCAGCAAGGAAATGATGATGAGGACGTCGTTGTGGATCCCGAGGAGGTTCATCGGGTTGCCTTTGCAGACTAAAGTAGCGGGTAGAAGCTCGAACATCCACGTGTCGCGTTGGTCGGTCCGTAGCCGGGATGAGCTAGAGACCCCTGGGGTTCCCGAGCAGTTACTTCGTGGAATGATAATGGCATACATCACTAAGGAGGCCAGGAATATTGGGAGCGACGCCTTAGAATGCCCACTCATTCGGGTGGCGGCTCAGGTAAGTTCGTACTTGCTCTCGTTGCTTCAAGTTTTTTCATGCTAAGACTGTTTCTTATGTTCACAGAACGCATGCTCGGTGATTGCTCTGATTGACCAGCTCCGACATTTGCGGGGAATGTACGAGGCGGAGCACTCCGAGTATTTGTGACAGAAGGCTCAATTGGCCGAGCTTCGGGTGGCCGGGGAGCGATCAACCGCGTTGGAGAAGGAGGTGACCGAGTTGAAGGCCCACTTGGATGAGCAGGTGAACATCGTATGTAGCCTAAGGCAGGACATTGCTGAGCTGAAGGCGGAGAGGGAGCGGCTGAGGCAGGAGGCCATCGAGGAGGTGGTGGATCGGTACAAGGCCTCGGTGGAGCTCCGACAAGAGATGGATCACTACGCCTCGACTTCCTTTGAGGCTGGATTCAACGTCTTTTGCAGGAGGGTTCAGCGTCACTGACCGGAGCTGAGCGAGATTGCACAGACTTGGGAAGCGTACGACTTAGACACTCCACCTGCTTTAGACAATCTTGTTGATGAGGAGGTCGACGGGGACGAGGATGGTGAAGATGGCGAGGATGGTGACGAGGTCGTTGATCCCCCCGCCAAGGTCTAGGGTTGGCCGAGATCTTCAGTTTTCGGCTAGTGGGGTCGGAGTGTATTCGGAGCTCTCATCTTTGGGATGCTCAGTTCTTTGTCTCAAGAGCTTTTGGGGCTCTTTGAGGGCTGGCCGTTCCTCGACTAGCTCTGACCGACAGTTGGTCGGTGGGCAAATGGAGTTTAATGACCGCCCTTAGGCCTTGATGGGTGGGGGCGTTCTTCTCCACCTTAGGCTCAGGCTGTCGGCAACTGAGTCGAATTACTTGGTCGGCGATAAGCTACCGAACTACGTGTCATGGGCTCAGGCCGTTCGAAGATCAGTTGAGTCGGTGAGGTGTGTCGAGCTATACATGTGTAGTGCGATGAAAGTTGCATGACTGTGTAGCGCGGCAATGTAGTGCGGATTACGCGATGTGTGTGTACTGTCGTGTCGTTGCGGTGTGTGCTTGTGGTGTGCTGGGCAATCAATCGTGTGGCTCGGATAAAACATTCTTCATTAATCATCAAATTACTAGTAGTAC